GCCAATCGCGAGCCCGCCGCCATTTTGAAACAATCAAAATCTCCAATATTTTTGGAGACACGTGACCTGCTGTTCGCCAGGGTCTTCTTCGCGCCCACCCGCCATCTTGAAAGCGGAGATGGCCCTGGGTGTCCGCTTAATACAGGTTTGACTGTATTTATTAAATGTAGTGACCTGGGGGGGGGGGGGGGCTAGCAGCGAGGCCTGGGACCTAGTATACATGATTGCACATTTAAGAAATTTGGCCGAGCGAGACTAAGTACTGATTTGTTTAAAATAAAACATGACGTGCGTTTGTGTTCGTTCAGAAATATTTTGGCGATTCCACGTTCAAACATCTATGGGAACGATTCGGTCGCTGTTTAACTGAACTTTGGTCATTGTGGGACACCATGGATGAAAATTCCACAGCAAACTCCCGTAGAGGTACGTTTCTCGAATGATTGACAGATTTCTTTACTTGTGCGATCATGTATAGCGGAAAAGCGGCAAGATCAAAGGGCGCTGCCTGCCCTTCCTGGTAGTGACCTTCTGTGAACAACCTAGTTCCAATACCTAAACTCTTCAACAAGCAGTTCGGTTTATAAACCAGAAATTCATTTAAACTGTTTCAATTCTGATATCTGATTCAATTCAAACTCGAATCTAACTTCATATCTACATTTTTACTTATTTAAATTCGTCAAGCATCAAATACTTTTAATGCCATAGTACTACAAAAATATTCTGTCTTGATTAAAGATGCTTTCCATATAACGTCATTGTTATTCATTCTTGTCGCCGCAGCTGAACCTTATTCAACAGTTTCATCATAATCTTCACCCACAAAATCCAGAATGCTTTTGTTAACTGTTGCAAAGTTTGGTCTTTGCTCTGGTTCCTGTAAAATAAGGAAACCTAACAATAAGGAGGCCAGAAAATGACACCACATTTACTGTTGGCTTATTACTAGAACATTGACAATAGCAAAGAGATGTTTTAATGTATTTGATTGATGGTTCAATTCAGGGGGGGCTAGCAGCGAGGCCTGGGACCTAGTATATATGATTGCACATTTTAGAAATTTGGCCGAGCGAGACTAAGTACTGGTTTGTTTAAAATAAACATGGCGGACGATGGCTGACATGACGTGCGTTTGTGTTCGTTCAGAAATATTTTGGCGATTCCACGTCCAAACATCTATGGGAACGATTCGGTCGCTGTTTAACTGAACTTTGGTCATTGTGGGACACCATGGATGAAAATTCCACAGCAAACTCCCGTAGAGGTACGTTTCTCGAATGATTGACAGATTTCTTTACTTGTGCGATCATGTATTGCGGAAAAGCGGCAAGATCAAAGGGCGCTGCCTGCCCCCCCTGGTTCAATTCTTAGTTAGCAGGCCCCGGTAGTTCAATGAGTGGATAACGTTATTCACCAGATAAATCACTATCCAGTTAAATGCTAACAAAAACAACTACGCTATCCACTGGATTAAGTGATTTATCTGGTGGATAGCATTATCCATCCTTTGAGCAACCGGCGCCAGAACAACAGAAAACGACGTGTTGGACAGTAAAAGAACTATCTATACGGTGTGGTACAAAGAGGAGATGAAGACAGCCTACCCCATGCCAGCACCTTTCTACAATTCTGTACATTTCATCAGGGCACCTGTGGGGTTTCTGAAGTCGATAACCATTGACGACCTACAAATAAAACAAGTCAACACCTCACTATTTCAATCATAAAAAGTTGTATATGAATTGTAATATAGCACAACTTAGTGGATGCGCAAGCGTTTATTATAATACCGTACATGAATGAAAATACTCAACTGAATCTCTGTTGTGTCATCATGAATATGATAAAGCTAGTGGCTCGATACAGTGTGTCGACCAAGGTAGCAGATTCGAGCCCTGTCTTGGATGGCCCATGTGTTTTTTTGTTTTGATAAAAGATAAACTAAGCGCCAATATCCGAGAAAGCAAAACGAGACAGCAAAAGAGGCTATCTCCTTTTAATGAATAATAGGGCCCAGTCTCTCAAACCCTGACCTTGTTTAAGACAAAGTTGTTGAGTCTCTACCTTAGCAACTGAGCTATGAAGCCAGACATTGGGAGCAAGAAGGATGACTTCTTCACTTCACACTACTCTGTAAACGTGCCTATTTTTGCGTGTGTGTGTCTTTGTTTGTTTGCCCGACCTGAACATGTAAAATATCTTTTCTATTAACTGGCTGCCTGGCATTTTTAACTTTAAGGTTATCTCGGGTAGGCAGTACCAATGTTATTTTTTTATTCAAAATTGTAAATACTTATAATAGGCTCTGGGGTAAAATAAAGTTAGTTGTTGTTGTTGAATAGCCAGGCAGCACGCAGTTCACATATGATTTCATTCATATAATTATATCACTTGTCATTCTAGTGCCGCAAGGACGTAATGAGATGTATACACTTGCAAGGAGGGAAATTTAGTTATGGGGAATGTTGATGGGAATTTCATTTTCAAATCTGCATGCTGGTGAGGACAGGACATGTAGTGAAAACATGGTCCTTACAGAAAGCAAATCAAATTAACTATGGTCTTACACAATTTACAGCTCCTGCTTGAACAAGTAATAACACATACACGAACCTTTTGAACCACATCAGTGTTGTTGATGGCAGGATAAGGCTGTTTCCCCGCACTGTATATTTCCCATGACAGAATGCCTGTTAATATAATGAGTAGGTTTAGGTATAGTTGCTGGTGTGCTTTGTTCTTTACGGCTCCTAAATAAAGTTCTAGATTCCACTTTGCAATTATATTGCACATGTACCTTCACTAGCTTGGTTCTATGACCATAGACAAATATTCGACAAAACGTCTGTTGATGAACCGTACAAACATGGTCACCTTGTACTCATTGATACGCAAGTTATTGAGACTACTGTAGGTCACTGACTGAATATCTAACGGGAAGGACAGTTGAGAATGAACATTGACTGAAGGATTAATTGACTGACTGACTGACCAACCGACTGACGGAAGGACTGAATAAAAGAGACAAACTGACAATAATCTATATGTTGACACACTGAAGATGGGCCCGAAACGTTTGTGTATTTAAATTTATGACACTTTATCCAATATTTTAAATTGCAGAAAATGTCCCTTACCAAAGGCCCAGATATCTGATTTACTGCTAAACTTGGTGTAAAGAATGACCTCAGGCGATGCCCATTTTATCGGAAATTTTGTGCCCTCTGATGCAGTGTATTCATCGTCAATGACATATCTGTAAATGGTATTGATAGTTCATTAGTTTTCTTGATGATTCTGAGCAGCCATATTCATTTAAAATATCCTGGAATATTTGCAGTAGGAATTCTATCAGGCATCTACAGAGCAGACACGAAATCAGGATTTGTGTATACAGTACCACTTGCGTTTGGCGCTGTCAAATTTCGTAGTTCAAGTGGCCCAAAAATGTTATTGCATTTTTTTAGAACCAAACATTGCTCTTTCATTGAGTTATATTTTTATAACACCACGTCTCGTATCATTTTGCTGTTTTGTTGTAAAATATAAAGATGCCTGGAACTCTGTTACACGAGATAGTACAACGAGCCTTTGATTCTTTATGGTGCCTCCCTCGGTATTAATAAAGGATGACCAACCATGTGCATGTATATCTCGTGTAATCTCTGCTCTATAGATACCTGATAGAGTTCCAATCGAACTTCAACTTCCAGGTAAGTTCCGTTTAATTATTTGTAATTTTACACTAACCTTGCTAAACCAAAATCGGCCACTTTTACTATGTTATTATCTCCTATGAGACAATTTCTTGCTGCCTGATAAACAAAAATATGGCTGATCAGTATACTAGTAATTGCTGTGGAGCGTTAACGTAGCAGCACACATATTCCTGTAGCAATTTGAGAATTGTTGGTTTGGTTGGTTCAGATACAAGAATCAAGGATGGATGTGAGATTTACAGCTCTAGCATCAATCGCTTCCTTCAAAATTGTGATTGTAAATGTTTGCAAGAACATTGTTTCGCTTACACTGTATATGAAACATTTTGCAATTCCAAGACATGATTGATTGTTGCTTATGTATTCTATATACTCAGTCTACAAATAAAATCATGTGAATTTCTCCAAACTACTTTTTCCTTTTCCATCTATCAAACAAAGGTTAAAATCGTGAAATCCTACACGTAAGAGCCTGCAGTATTTCGCCAATTTTCCAAAAAAACAAATATTAAAACGCCCTCAGTCCATTAGGTGTGTTAATCACAAATGTCGACAAAGGCTTGACAAGAGGTTCAACTGTAGTTTAAAACGTATCACCTTATAATTACTGTAACTTAGGTGTACTTTTCAGGTTTTAGCCTTTTTACTTTGTAAAGCGCATTCGATCATATTCATATGGAATTTGCGCTATATAAATATTAATTTTAATTAATTAATTAATTAATTATGGTCAATTATTTGAAGTCCTGAAGGTGCTGATTACAGCCGCATCTCACATTTCGCAAAACTCTTTTCATAACAGAATCATGTGTTATTGTGTTGCATACTTACTAAATCTCTGTGGATAAAGTTTCTGCTTTCCAGATACATCATGGCTGATGAAACCTGGCGAGTCATTTCTGTCATTTGGGGAGACTGCAGGCGAGTATGATTCTTCCGCAAGTAGTGCAAAAGACACCCTGTAAAATATGTGAACCTGACTCAACCACATACCAACAGGGATACATTCATTCATTATTTAAGTTTAATCATATGCTATGCAGTTGAAATCTCAGCATGTTTTGGCTAAAGTAGTATGAAGGGCCAAATCAGAATATAGAACTGCTTTAGTGCACAAACGTTGAATATTGACCAGTAGAATATAGCTGTCATATGTGCAGCATGGAATGTGCTTGTGCTTTATTTTCCTATCTGACTGGACTGTAACAACAGAGAATGAGATCTTTGCAGTTATATTTCAACTTAAGCAGTTGAAAAGAAAACCTGAAAAGAAACTTCAGGCTCCAACAGGATTCAAACCCATGACCTTTGCGATTCCCGTGCGACGCTCTACCACTGAGCTACGAGGCCACTGGGAGCTCGTCAATTGCGAGTTCTATTTATACCTGTCAAGTGATGAAATAATGTGCGCACTCTGATTGGTTAAAAAACCATGTTTTATCAGAGTTTAGTTCAAAATAGGTGTCATATAAACGGAATGGAATCTGCCCGTGCATTATTTAACAAATAGATTCCATTTGGCCTTGTGCCTGTACTCTAATAGATGTACAGATGACATCAAAATGTGACAAGAACAACAAAGTGGACCACACGAAGCAGTCGAGTGGGTCACTGAGTACTGCCTGACTTGTTATGTCATTAGTCCATTTGTACTCTAATAGAGGACTGCCCTCAGCCAATCAGAGCATTTCTTATAGATGCACGGTTAAAGTTATAGAGCACGCGTGTTCACACTTAGTTTAATCTTGAAATAGCCCACCTTGGGACATGAACTCTGTGATGATATAAATTGGCTTCTCACTGCAAACTCCAAACAGCTGCACTAGATGAGGATGCTGGAACTGCCTGTAATGAGACATGTAATATGCCTTATAAGAATCTATATTACTTTAGGACACATAAGGATTGGCAAGATGGACGTGGGATGCATATGGTTAGCCCCTTGTGTGAAATTTGCATTTATGTCGTAAAGAAGAAAAGTTCCTGATTTCTGCTCTATGAAAGGCAAGACAGACAGAACTCACACACTCAATGGATAGTGCAGAGTACAAAAAGTACAAATTGGATAATCCAAAATTAAGGGTGGTTTATACAGGTTATACTGTTGCTATGGCAACTTTTTATGTCAAGCAGATGATCATAACTTGTTTACCAATAATTGAACATTCATTTGATACCATTATTTTAAAATCAACGGATATAGAATGACAGTAGCGATCAATCAAAGCACAAGGGCTGTAAACAGTTACATGACTTTCCTCACTGCGCAGCAATAACAACCTTCCTAAAATCCTTTGCACCTAAAATTTTGCAATGGCAAATAACTTTGTCAATTTGAAGTCCAGGAGGATGCTACACCATAAGGTAATAACACTTGTCATAAAAATATCTCTCATATCAAACTTAGGTAATTGTGAAGCTGACAGTTTAACAAGTACTTTCTCTACAACAAACAGTCAAGCCCACAAGAGGGGTTTTCTATAGCAAACTCACGTCATAACTTTGGCTTCATCGATAAAGTCATCCTCAGACATTGCACCTTCCTTCATCATTTTAACAGCTACAGTCATAGTTCCTCGATATGTACCTTCTCTCACAGTCTGTCATGAAATAAATCCACAAATTAACATGACCAACAGGAGAACTACAGACTTTGGAAATATTTTATTCTTACCCCAAACTGTCCTGTTCCTAACTCCTTGCCAAGAACAATTTGTGATCTGGGCATTTCCCATGTATCTGAGTGTGAAAAATTCAAACAAGAACAAATGATTGTAAGTGATAGATACATGTACAATAAAGTAACAAACACAACCCTCTGTACCAATCATATCTCCTTAAATGGTTGTTATACGTGAATGTAATCATGTTTGTTATGTGCTTTAGCACTATCCTCCCGTTATATCTGACTGAGGTTTCATGTAATCTAAAAATGCCGTTAAATAGGTTTGTAATGATTTTTTAACATGTTTATGAAGAAGGAGAGAGGGATGATTGAAGGTTAAGTGTATTTGAAATAAATATTATAATATTATTATATTTTTAGTAAATAATAATGATAGATGGGCACGAAAATACACTACCCCCAACCCAAAGTGCTCTCGTGTTGGGACAAGTCTATTTGGTGGGGTGTATTAATTTTTAACTATTATATTCCTCCCTTAACTTTCATTACACTGTATATATTTTCACAAAAAATTACCTATAATGCCCCCATAAAGCAGAAATAATACAGATTCAATCTTTCGTAAAAAGAAAAATCCCGAAACACGTCAGTGCAAATGAATTATTCAATCAGAACTAATATTTTTGCTTGTCTTTTGATAATACAGGAAAACCATTTTAAATGCCAACGAGGCAGCTGAGCCAAGAGGCGAAGCTGCCGAGGCGGAGATCATAATCTTGAATTTGGGAGAGAAAAGACTCAACTTCTGCGTGAACTTCGTTTTCCATATTTGGGTGTAAGTAATACCCCGTTGTTCATAACAGTGTCGTTTCGGTGTTTCGTAATGGCCGAGGGTATAGGTGAGTAAGGTTAATATTTCTTTATTGAAAGGGCTTTTAGCCACCTTAATTCTCTTTGTAAATTGTAAGCAACAGGTGATCAAGGAATAGGGTTATACGCAGAAATTTTGGTCAGTTCCCTCCTCGATTTAAACCAGCGTGTTCGCTTCTTGATTCCGAATTAGTGTGTTCTTTCGTCACGAACAGAATACTGTACACATCTTATAGCACAAAAATTGTCCTTGAATGCCAGCGTTGCGTAATCAAAAATTACTGACAAGGCAAAGCGTGTATACAATATTCCTTGATCACTGCGTTCAGTACATTTATTATCTGGTTAATCGCCGTTACAAACCAAAGCCAAAACATCCTTAATTTTCGGCGGGGAAACTCGAGCCGGGAATTACGTCTGCTCTCGCAGGCTACAGAGATTCCTTTTCAGGGTTCATTTCAGTGTTGTTATTATTATTCCTTCATCACTACACGCGCTTGTTTTATATGTAAACATTCATTCGTCTTCAGTTCTGTCATACACGAAACTCTTGGAAAGAAAAATACTCTTCAGTTATTTATGAAGTTGCAATTCTTGGACTAAAATTATCTACAGTTTAATTATCAAAATAGCCATGAAAATAAAAGGTAAATCTTAATTTTTTGGAATGAGTCAAATACAAAATATAAACATCTGACAGTCTGGCCCCGTCACGCAACGCTTCCTTGCTCCGATAATAATTTTAAAATTCTTTCAACTTTCATGCAACTAAAATGACATTTCAGCAAACGAAGACACATCTTCGATTTCTAAGCAACTTTAGGATGGGGTATTAATTTTGTTATCTTGTCATCAAATAAACTGGGGCTTTCATGTTGTCTGTAATATTTACAATGTAATGCCGGTCAGATTTTTAAATAATTAAGAACGTATATGTTTCATGATCTTATATTTTAAAGCTTTCTATCAATTATTCCCTCCTCTATGTCGTTAGCACTTTTAATAGTGGTAACTATAACTAGTATAAATCAAGAATAATACACAGTAATTACTACATTTATTTTAATTATTATTAATAATTTCTGCTTTAAATTGAAGGGCTCAGTACAAAAAGGGTGGTTTGACAATAATATATGTGATAAATCATGCTGCACATACCATGACCAAATGCTGCAACAGGTGCTTGACCAAATGAAGGTGGCTGCCGCAATCTAGTAACTAAGCCTAGAATGTAATAATGACATGTAAACTTGATAAATTAATAATGACAACGTTCAAAACATAATAATCAAACTGTGTTGATCGAGTCAGGTTATTCATCAGATATGATAATAGCAATTACCTGTACCAAAAACACCACAACAGTCTACTGCACTATCTCAGTCTACATCAGACATTTATTACTGCATAACTTTAATTTTAAGAGTCTGATTTAACCATGTACAGGATTACCATCTTCTATTCAAATTTCTTAGTAAATTACTGCTGTGTATATTTAATAAAATTAAGTATTTTCCTTTTTGGGGGGTGGCCATATTTAAACTGGGTACCCAAGGGAAGTGTTTGTTGTGGTAGTGATTTTGACTCGCATATTCAAATTATTTCACAAAACGTGCATAATTGTCCCAGCTGGTGGTACAGATCATGGTGAGAAAGCAAAGGTTATTTACCAAACTCCAAACGATAGTCTTAAATATTGTCAGTTTCAATCTGTCTATTGTTAGTCAAATTTCTGTTGGTCCTGTTTGAAGCAAAGTTCATTATTTTGTATCTTTCGTTGAGGACATGAATAAGTCATTTGTAAGGTGCTGGTAATTGTTGATGTCGGTTAAGGTGACGCAGGACCCTTGCTCTCATTATGTATGTATTTATTTAAAGAGTATGCACGAACCATAACGACTGATGCCGACAATACGCGAAATATTTATGAGGATATTTTTTTTACGTTCTTAATAATGTATTCAATAAATGCTGTTTTCGGCGTATTAGTAATTACACGTGCGATTGAAATATTCAGGTACGAGCTTGTTGTGCATTTCACTCTCGAAAAATACTATTTCGAGAGCTCGTTGTTTCAACTGAAAAACGGTATTTTTTACAGGTAATTCAAAATTATCAAACCGTAATCCATCGCTACTAGTTGAAACGTAAAAAGGTGTACAGGTGTATTTACGGTGGTTCAGTTTGTTTCGTTTAAAGCATTTCAGTGCACAGAAATTGCAATGTAAATCAACAGCGTTCGGCACACGTGGCGCGTTCTTGCCATGGTGTTCAAGAAATATGTTGTTTCCGATACAAAATAAAGTTATTTATGACTGTTGTCTGGTTTCTTTGAATAGCGTTGACTGAATACGAAAAATAAAGAGTCCGCGAAATTGAATGAAATATATAACAAATTTAAGAACTTGCATGCTGAAAATTGCGAAAAATAATTTATCCACTTGTTTTTTTTTTATATAACTGGTGATGGTATGTATCAGGCCTTGCCTTTCTCTTGTGCACTACAAAACTCTCGGAATCTTCACTCACCTTGAAAAGTACGCGGTTAATTACCACGTTATTGTACTTATTTTTACGGCACGTGCACTGGAATACGGCAAATTATCATAATTAGATTCACTGCTCTAAAGGCGTCGTTGTTGAATATATTATTGACTCGTGTGATCTTCGGAGACGGGAAAAACTACAACTTTGTGTCCAAGCTTTCGTCGCGGATATAGAATTTCCGGAATTGATACTCGAGGAAGGTAAACTTAGTACATTGTATTGTGATGTGACAGAAGCGGAATTTCAAAAAAGCCTTTCAAAAAGAAGATCGAACGTTTCAAAGTCTAATTTTCACATTTTTACTCCC